TTCCTTTGAGAAAAGATTCGGCTCTCCTCTCCAGCCTGCCTCTCAGGCTGAATGCCTTTTATACAATGGCTGCAGCCTCCTGGAAGAAGGACCCAGGCAGGGAGTCTTCTACAAACCTGGCCTGGCAGGCTTGGGCAGGAAGAGGGCAGGGCTACTGTGCAGGTGGCCCCAGGACCCAGCAGGGGCCTTGAACTAAAGCTCTGTTTTCAGCCTGGCAGCTGCAGCCCCTGCCCAGGCCTCCCGCACACACCCTGAAGTGCTCCTGGCCCCACTTCCTGTGGGCCTGGGAAGTGGCTGGTATGAGGAAGACCCGTGGCACGCAGGGAGGAAGTGGGTCTGCCCAGGCCTGCACCATCTGCACTGGCCACACTCTCTGGTGCAGCCTTCAGCTCAAACGGTTGGCGGTTTCAGCTTTTCACCTCCCTTTGCTGTATCTCCTTGCTTAGCTTTAAGTAAGTAGAACTGTGGCCCCACCCAGACAAGTGTGGGAGGGAAGTGGTGCCTTCAATATTTCCAAAATAACACTCACTCTTTCCTCATATCGCACAGCACCTTCGAGTCTGGGAACAGGGATCACGTTTGCTTTCTTACTGGATCCTCGCAAGCCTGGCTCAGGGCTAAGGGAGTAAGAGCCAGCAGTGACTGGGCCTTCGCCATGTGTCAGGAACACCAATCAGCTCCCAGAAGCCACCATCCTTGTCCCACTTTACAGAAGAGAGAAATGAGGTGAAGAGAGATTCAGTAACTGGCTCAGGGACACACAGTCCATGAATGAACGGACAGGACAGAGATTTTACCCCAGAGTCTTGAGTCCGCAGTTGGCCCTATTAGCTCCTCGTGCTCCTCGTTATACTGCCTTTCAAGGCACACACACAAGAACAAATCCCATTTACAGGTGAGAAAGGGAGGCTGAGAAGGCTGAAAGGGTGCTGTGGGGCCTGAAGCCAGGGTTGCTCCGCTGTCCATGTCTCCTTCCACAGGACAGTCCACCAGCACCCGAATCTGCCCTGAAGCCCCAGCTTGGCTCCTTCTGACCCACAGGCTAAATGTGGCCTTTTATTCTGTGTAGCCAAGGGAGCCAGTGTCCCAGCCTGTCTAGAAGAGACTATTTGAGCTCATTGGTCACGTAAGGGATGGGGCAAGGCCAGGGCCATCGGATGCGCCTCAGGAGATCCCCCAAGACCACCTGCTCCCGCTCCTAGGTGGACAGTCCAGCCTTCCGAGGGCTGGGAGCTGGGGACCACAGGCAGAGAGTTGGGGCACCTGTCCACAGCATCCTCTCCTGGAGGCACTTTGAAGGGCTCGGGTGGGGCCTGGGCTGGAGGGCACCGAAGCAGACTGCTTTCCCGGGTGCTGTCCTTCCCTTCAGGCTGCCTCACTCACTGAACACTTGTTTGTGTGCACCTACCAGGTGTCAGGTACTATTCCAAGCATCAAGGCAGCAATGAAGAACACAGACTGGATTCCAGGACTCACAGAATTTAGTTCCAGTGAAGGAGCCCGACATTAGGAAAAAAATCACACAGGCAACTGAAAGGCATGGGGCACAATGACAGGGTACAACTTCAGGGTCTCAACCTAAGGAGTGAATGGAACTGGGGGGTAGGGCGGCTGTTCCCTGAGGAAGGGCCATCTCAGGAGACAGAGGCCTGGGGGGGTGGTGTGGAGCTGTGGGTGGTACAGTTCCTGGCCCCATCCTGCTGCCCTCCTCTCTCCCCCGCATTCCAGCCCATCAGGAAATCTGCTTCCAGGAAGCTGCCTTGCTGGTGTCCTTCAAAGCTGCCCCCAAGTGGTGCTTTTGCTGGCAGCTGCGCTTCATGTTTGTGCCTCTGTGTGTGTGTGTGTGTGTGTGTGTGTGTGTGTGGTGTGTATGACAGCCCACATGTGCCTGTGTGCACATGTGACAACTTATGTGCGTGTGTGTGCGCACGCACGTGTGTGTGTGTGTGGTGTGGTGTGTTGGGGGGACAAGCAGAGAGGGGAACCAAGATTTTTTATCTTTGATCCTCAGCTAAACTCAAGCACCTCCTCAGCAAAGTCCTGCGAATACACGTGGCAGAGTGCCAGACAGGCCAAGGGGTGAAGGCAGCCGGAAGGGCAAGAAGCTGCTGGTATGAAATGTTTAATTCTGAGAAACAGTTTCAGAATCAAACATTTTCAGATTCACTGAGAGCCAAAGCCCTTCCTAAAGTACCTCTGAAAATAATTTTTCAGCTTGAAGTGTGAAACTAGCTTTTCCTAGAGAGGTAACCCTCCAGGGCTGACTGCAGGCCGGCAGCCTCAGAGCAGCGGCAGCTGGGGGCCGGCCCGCTGGTGCCTCCTGGCCTGCGGCCACCACCCACACAACTTTGCTCACTTCGGCTGCTTCCAGGACCCCTTGCTGCCTTCACTGAACAGGACTCTCCCCTCATTAACCAGGGGCACTCTCAGTGGAAGAAACCCCTGCATGGGGCTGCAAGGCTGTGATTTCCCTTTTCACTTTCCAGTTTCCATTTACTAGCAGCTCCACTCCCCACGCCTTAGGGGCTGAGGGGCAAGAGAAGTATGCCAGCCCACTCCCTGGGGCTCTCACAGCGGTAGGTTGTTAAGGTTCAGATTGCTGGCTTCCCAGTCTCTGAGGCCTTCAGTGACTCTGATGCAGCCTGCGGCCCCCACTCTGGTGGCACAGCCCCAGGGAAACAGTCGGAGCACCTCTGAGGCACAGCCCCGTCCCTCTCTAAGTCTCTTCCCACAGCGCGTGCTTGGGCAGGTTTGCTCAGCATTCCCTGCGCCTTCCCCACCCGGTGCTGGGTGCCAGTTCTTGGGCCTGGAGCTCTGCAGGACGTCCAGGCTATGGCCTCACACAGGCTCCTCTCTTCCTCACACTCCAAAGTTCCCTTTAAGATGCTCATGTGTAGTGTAGTAGGCAATAAAAACAAAACAAGAAAGAAAAATTCCATTAAGGGCTCTTAGGTCCTTTTGTTCTGTCCCTTGCTCCAACTTGTTTACAATTTATAGCCTAACTCCAAAAAGGTTTTAAGGACATTTATATTGTCTCCCTGTTTCCCACCCCGAGAGTGTGTGTGTGTGTGTGTGTGTGTGTGTGTGTGTGTGTCTTCCAATGTACGCTTGCTTTAGTTTGACCTTGGAAGGAGCAGGTGGCCAGGTCCTCAAGCCTGGCAGATGCAGACCTTTCCTAATCGCTAGGGCAAATTTGTTCTTCAGTGTTTCTAGTAGCAAGTTTTGATCAATCATTAATCAAAGTTGTAATAAAAAGATAATCTTCTCAGGACTGGGCTATAAAGATCCTGGCTGAAACCTTAAATAACCCTTCTGGGGAGACCTCAAAGCCAAGTGAGAAGGGTCTCGTGTCTGTGTCTGGATTTGGAAGTAAATGAAGGCACCATCCATCTCTAATGGATAGTAGGCACAGACATGAACTTCAGTCACCTGAGTGGCTGGGGCCTCTCACTGCCGAGGCAGCTGGCTGTACTCAGGCTCCTGGACCAGGTGGCAAAGCTGGGAAAGGAGGGTGTAGCTGGGCCTAAATGTGAGGGCTTGGGGGCACCTCACAGCATGTGACAGCTGTGGCGTGCCTCTGGGGCCAGGGCTGATTGCAGTGGAGGCAGTGTGGCCCCGAGGGCCCACAGAGCCTATAGAATAGAAGGAGCCCCTCTCTGATAGCTTGAGCCTATCCTGCTGACTTGCCGTTCTGCAGGGCAGTGGTGCCTGGGCTAAAGGAGGAGGCCCGCTTCCGATGGGAGGAGAAAAGGGGATGGTTGCTCCTCCCCATGATCCAGCAGGGGTCAGAGGCTGTGGGGTTCTCCTCCTCTCCCAGCTGCCTCACAGTGGAGGGCGGTTCTGCTCTTTGGGCCATAAGGTCACAGGCTCCAGGCAGGCTGCAGAAGCAGGATCTAGGAGCTAGAATCAACAGGGATAATACAAAGCCCAGCACCAGGTCCAAGGAGCAAGGACACCAGGGCAGAGCATGGGGCCCTGGGCCAAGCATAGCCTGGACCAACAGACTCAGGTTTAGCTGTCACAACCTTCACGGAAGCCACGACTGCGTCATCCAAGAGAGCCGACGTGCTCACACGGACATGTCTAGGATGCAGAGCATCTGAGCGGGGGAGAGTCATGCACTGCTCTCTCCAACCCCTGCCAATACACTACTGGGCTTGCTCTGGAGCCACATTTCAGGCACATGGAAGAAATGGCATTTTCAGAGAAGTCCAACCCAAGAGGTACAAGGGAGTGAAGTTGGGTATGATAAATTGTTCAAAGGACTGCTGTTCTGGATGGCTCAGAGGGAGGAAGACAGCACTGATGGGAACACTGGAGACACAGATGTGAGGAGGAGACTTCCTGTAGGTCCAATGTGGTCTCCAAAGGTAGATATATATACACATCCACACAGACATGCATGCACACCCACACACACCTTTTTTTTTTTGAGAGAGAACAGAGAAGGAATAGAAAGATACACACTGAGATTTTAACACTGGCCCTCTCTAGCTGGTAAGATTATGAATAATTTAAATCTTTTCCCCTTGAGCTTACTAATAGTTTCTAAAATGTCCATAATATACCCAAATTATTTTTAATCACGGTCAAATATATATAACATAAAATGTACCATTTTCAGCACTATACTGCAGTTCAACGGCGTTAAGTACATGCACATGGCCATGCAGTGATCAATCCACCGAGTGCCAGATATTTTTTCATCATCTTCAACAGAAACAGAAGCCATTAAGCTGACCCTCACTGCCCTGCACCACCAGCAGCAGGCAGCCTCCTTTCTGCATTGTCCCCATCAGTCTGACTACTCTCAGTACCTGACGTAAGCAGTCATACGAGATTTGTCCTTTTGTGTCTGGTTTATTTCACTTCTTTGCACAATGTTTCCAAACTCCATCCATGTTGTAGCATGTGGCAGAATTTCATCCCTTTTCGTTGCTGAATAATGTCCCATTGTGTATATGTACATATCACATTTTGTTTCTCCATTCATCTGTCAACAGACATGCGAATTGTTTCTACCTTTTGGCTATTGTGAATAATGCTGACAGGAGATGGGTGAACTGTATCTTTGTGTCCCTGTTTTTAATTCTTTTGGGTACATAACCCAGAATTGGAATTGCTGAATCACATGGCAATTCTATGCTTAATTTTTTGAGGCAACAACATACCATTTTCCATAGCAACTAAACCATTTTACATTCCCACCAGCAATGCACGAGGATTCTAATTTTTCTACATCCTTACAAACACTTGTTGTTTTTTATTTTTTTGTTAACAGCCATCCTAAAGGGTGTGAAGTAGTATCTCATCGTGGTTTTAATTTGCATTTCTGTACTTATTTTTTTATCTAATTCTGAATCAAATCCTTTGTCCTTTGTTTCTTGACAATATGGACCTTTCTCCCTTTTTCTCCATTTTTGTATTCTTTGCATTGTTTTTGTTTTTAACTGTGGTAAAATACATATAACATAAAACTTACCATCTAACCTTTTGTGGGTGTGCAGTTCAGTACTAGTAAGCTCACATTGCTGTGATGTAACCCAAATTACTTTCACAATGATAAAAAGCAACAAAAGGCCATTGAAGGAAAAAAGGAAGTAGTGGGTTCTCAGCCCCTGGAGATGTTCACACACTTTGGCTCAGTCTTGTCAGGGATGTGCATTCATCTCCTGAGCACCCCAGTGCACTGGGCTCCATCCCAGGCAGGGGGGCTCTGAGGTGAGTGTAGTCTGGTCTCTGCCCTCGGATTTCAGCCTTTGTAGGAGGAGTTACACCCAGAGGGCCAGCCTGTCATGCAGGTGCAGTGTTGGGAAGGTGGCACAGATGAGGTGGCAGGTGAGCTGAGCCTCAAAGGACAAGCAGATGTTTGCAGGTGTGCAAGGACAGAAGGGAACTGGCCTGTGCTGTTGGGCTGTGGCAGTGCTGATCACAACTGCTCTTACATAAGCATTTGTTAATTTCTGTCTGTCTTCCCCACTTGATTCTAAGCGTCATGAGCACAGAGCCAGGTGGACTTGTTCTCTGTTGAACGGGCAGGTGTAAAATGAATACTTGCTGAGTAAGTATGGAGGAGGAACGGGAGAGAGGAGACATCTCCTCCAGCATCTTGGCCTTGAGCGGCAGGGGGCACAGCTGTGCTTCCCAGGGAAGGGCGCAGAGGGAAGCCTTACTTGGATGATGGAGATGGGCACATGGTAAACCCACACCATGGGAGCCAGAGGGGAATGGGAGCTGGAGGCCCAGGCTGGGGAGAACTAAAGGGCGTGACTGCTGGGCAAGGAGCCCTGGAGAGAAGAGAGGCTGGGATGCAGGCTCAGCAGAAGGAGAGGGGTCTCTGTTTTTATGTGACTCAGATGGCGAATATGAACAAGATGGAATGCCAATTGTTGGTAAGGATGTGAAGCAACCGGAGTTCTCCTACTCTGCCGGAGAGAATGCTCTTCCCGTTGTTATTCCAGGACTCAGAGAGCGTGCTGGCTGGTGGTGGGCTCAGGCTACCATTTGGGCCAATCAAGGGAACCCCAACATCTATGCCTGGACCACCAGATATGAAATACTCTATATCTAGAGCAATTTCCAAGATGGGTTTGAATGCACAGGATGTTGCCTAACTGAAAGCCCAGAGTGGGCACTCTGCTCACCTACCTCCAAAATGTCAACTTTGCCTTGTACCTCCTTGCCCCTCATCTCATGTCACACATGTGGCAGGACTTCAGCCAACAGAAGGTAGCCCATGCTCTGTCCAGAGAGCATGTGGGGACCGGCACTGACAGAGCCCCCCTCCCCTCCCATGAGCCCTGGACACTGTGGTGAGCTCCATCAGGGGTTCAGAGCCCCTCTACCTGAGGGATCTTTATGCATGCCTCCTTGCCCCTGCTGGTGGTCCAGCCCCAGGCCCACTGCACAGAGCTCCTGGCCCACCAGACAGGTGGCACATGTGTGAACAGGGAGCCTGCACAGAGTAGCTCTTTCTCCACCTGCACAGTGCATCTGAGGGAAGGAGGATGCTGATTCCGCGTGTGGTCCATATGTCACTGCATCTTCCTTCTCGAGCTGGAGGATGCTGTCACTGAGTCACCAAATGCCACCTTACTTACTGTGGGGCAGCCCAAGGAAGTGGCCAGGAGTCCCTGGGATGTGGCTGCAGCCCAGAGGCAGGGAAGAGATGGGCACAGATGACATGAGGGGAGCTCAGCACGAGACAGTGTGTAATAAGGAGCTGCACTGCAGACTAAGTGCTATGGAGCTCAGGACAGAGAGGGGTCAAGTAGGGGTGGGGTTATCAGGGAAGGTCCCAGATCAGGGCCCCCAAGGTGGGTAGCAGAGAATAGAGGAGACCATTACAGGTGAGGGACCTATATGCAAAGCTGTGGAACTCAAGAGCTGGCCAGGCCTGGACCCATGAGGGACAGCCCCACAGGCTGCTCCTTCACCCTGGAGAAAGCCACAGACAGAACACCTCCCTCAGCCCCACCTAGGCCCCTGGCATATGCCCCACTGTCCCCAGCTTGACCACAACCCTGACTTGAGCTGTGTCCCATTCATGCTGGCCTAGAAACTGGGAAGTACCTGGCACAGGGCCCCTCCACTTCCTCCACACGATTGCCTGGGGCTCCGGGGAGACCAGCAAGGGGTCATTTTTGTGGTCAGGAAATATCTGTGGCAGCTGTGGACACCAAAGGCTCTCTATGGATCCTTCTGAAGTGGAGGCTACATTCCCAAAGATTCTCAACTGCCTAAACTCCAGCTGCAATCTCTTGCTTTTTCAGTAGACTCACCTTGGTCTGGGGGATGAAGGTTATCTTTCCCCAGGTCCAGGAGGTTCCCTCAGATCAAAAATACTCTCAGTTCAAGGGCAGGACACTGAGAAACAAAGCAGCAGATGCTAACCTGTGGTTTAATACAATGGTTTTCAACCTTGGCTGCACATTAGAACCACCTAAGGGGCTTCTTAAAAATACTTCTGTCCAAATACTGTAACAGGCACTTTGCAAAAAGAGGATGACATGGCTAAGAAACATATGAAAAGATGCTCAACTGTATTAGTCATCAGGGAAATGCAAATTAAAACCACACTGCGATACCATTACACACCCACCAGAATGGCTAACATGAAAAAGATAGAAAGTTCCAATTGTTGGCAAAGATGCGAAGCAACCGAAACACTCCTACATTGATGGAGGGGTGTAAATTGGTCCTTTGGAAAATAATTCAGCATAAGGTACTAAAGCCAAACATCCTCATATCCATACTTGCCCAGCAATTCCACTTCTAAGTATATATGCAACAGAAATACACAATGGGCTCCATAAGACACTGCTCAGAGCAGTGGTAGCATGGCAATTCCAAAATGCAAACAACAACCCAAATACCCAAATATCCATTAACAGCAGAATGCACAGATAAACTGAGGAATATGCATACAGTGGAATATACTCTAGAGTAAATGAGAAGGAACAAACTCCAACCATGAGCAGAATGACTCACAGACACAATGTCGAGTGGAAGAAGTCAGACACCATTCCATTTGTAGTATATAGAGCTTGAAAACAGGCCAAATGAATTCCTGTTGTTAGAAGTGAGAATGGCGATGACCCCTGGGGGTCGGGGCTGCTGGAGATGTTCTTCTGATGTGGGTGCTGGTTAACATGGGTAAGTTCACTTTGTGAAAGAAAGTTCACTGAGCTTGTACGCTTACCATCTGTGCTTTTTTCCCCATGTATATTCTCCTTCAATAATGACTTCAAATATTTTTTTTAAAAACCTACATCAATTCAAGTCAGTATCTTTGGGGGGCCCAGGCACCCATATTTTTAAATGCCCTACATGACTGTAATGTGCAGGCAGGATGGAGAGCCGCTGGTTTAATTTCTTGAGAAAGGCAGATCCACTCAAAGGCCTCAAATGGTCCTGACAAGGGGTGCTTCCAGCTCGGCTGGGTGAGGTACTGGGTGGGGAGAGGTCTGTCTTTGCTGATGTGAGCAGGCCTCCTGCAGAGCAGTATTGCAGCAGGCTGCTGTCATGTGTCTCTTCCCTGGCAGTGTCTGTTGAAAGCTGGTTGCATCAGCTTGTGATGGTGTGTAATGGGAACAAGGTGGGCCCCGCCCACCCCAGGGAACTGGCTCACTCAGTACAGTTGCAATGGGGCCACTTACACAGAAGTGTCAGCTGGGCCTTCCGGCGACTGCTACCCAGGTCAGAGGCATTGCTGAGGCTCTGACACACTGGGGGAAGGTTCCACTCAGGGTGTCTATGTTTGTGAGTAACAGCCAACTCTGGGTTCCAGAAGAAGACCAAACTCCCTGTTCTCTGGGTCCAGATTAGGAACTTGCAACATCCTGCTGTCAGCTCAAGTGCCTAGACTGAAAATTGTCCTTCCTCTCTGTGTGGTTAGTGGCAGCCACCCTAGCAATGGCCACCTCCAGCATAGTCTGGTCAAACTACAGGCAGCTTGGACAGGACAAGACAGGTCACAGGCTTACATACTGCACAGCTGATCTGCCCACCATGGCCCCCTCTACTCTCCCAGGCGAGCATGGACCATGAGCCTTCTGCTCTGGGAGGGGCAGTACAGAAAGGCTTCAGAGGCTTCCCTCAGCCTCCACCATCCAGCCACAGGCCGGCTCTTCTGGCCATGTCTCTGTATGTCTGCTTCCCCCAGCGTCACGTCCTCAGATCAAGAGTGAACAGGAAGGGGCCTCAGGCCTCCTGCCACTCTGCTGAGGGGGACGCTGGGGGGCATTGGCTGGGCTCACTGGGCTGAGGGACCAGATGGCGTGGGCTGGGAGAGCACAAGCTAAATTGACAGAGGCTCCATCACTCCAAGGCTGCCACAGTAAGAACAAACAAATCCATCTCCAATTGCCCAGTCTCCTCCTCCCCTGCCAAAAAAAATCCTAGAGGTAAAAGCAGCATGGACATGGGAGCCGGGGTGTAAAGGCTTAAGTGTTCCTCTCCACTTCAGTTTGCTCAGGAGGAAGTGGGGCGAGGGTCCATGGCTCTGCTGGAGTGGGCTGGAGGGTGGCTTGGGCCCTGAGGGTGGGGCGTGTGGTGGGGACCTCAGCCACCATGTGCCACCTCATGCCCTGGCCTATGAACACCCCATGGCCACCCCTGCCAGTCAGAACGGCACTACCCTTCCTGTTGTCTTTTTAAAGGAGCATTATGAAATGTTTCCTTTTTGTACCTCAGGAAACGGGTGGCCAGGAAGAGATCTTGATTCTACTTTTCCCCTAGAGGTGCGTGTACTTCAAAGGGGTGCACAAATGAAACGAAACGGAGGGCCGCCCAGCCAGCAGGGTGAGGAAGCGAGGGGATCCGGGGAGCGCTGCTGCAGGAGAGCCCTGAGGGCAGACCTCAGGGGGCTGCAGGACAGCTGGGCCACGCCATACTCCTCTGGGTGTGAGTGTGACAGGGGTGGGCGGGCAGGGCTAGGCCATGGGCCTCTCTGGGCTCCAGTTTATCCTCGTCTCCAGGGCTGACTGGCACACAGGACACCTCAGTGCAAAAGCATCAAAGAAGCCACTGACCGGGAAGCACAGAGGCCTGGTGGGTCCGACCTGAGGGACTCCTAATGTCAGATCTGGGGGAATCCCATCCAGACACAGCCTGGATGTCCCCAGAACATCCAGTTTACCTTAAAAGACCTAGCATGGATTTGTTATCCAAGAAGGTCATTAATCCTTTTCTGAAATTACTGATATATTCCAGTCTGTCACATAATTTCTGAAAGTCATCATAAATTTACTCCTGGTTTCTTTATTTTATTTACATACGTATTTTTCTTCTCAAAATGTTCCATTAAGTAATATTTTCCTATATGGAGAAGTTATCAGTCCAGTACCCTCTATCATGTATAGAAGTTAAAAAAAAGGAAGTAAATTAAAAAAACCCCGAGTAGCCCAGAGATGCCACAAAGCTCAAGCCCAGGACCCCTAGGAGGATCTCTCAGGGCTCAGTCAGGGACTGTTCTTATTTTAGATACAAATCAGAAACAGTTTCTGTATGCTAGAGTCCCGGGAAACAGATGCGCCCTGTCTCAGCAGCAGAGGGGAGCTTAAGGAAGGACTGCTCATACAGCGGCAGCAGGAGGAGGGGAACAACAGGGGAAGGAGAGGCACCCTGGAGCCAGAACAGTGGGGCGCTCCTCCCAGGGCCTGAAGGGAGGACGCAAGCTGGACACTGGAACCTAGAGAGGCTGCTGGTGGCAGGTGTGGCTGTAGGGGCAGGAATTCACCCCGCGGGCCTGAGGTCTGGCAAGGGAGGGGCTGGCGATAAGCACCCTAAAGCACCCCAACATTACTACCCAGTCTCCTGCAGGAGTCTTCAGCTGGCACACCCAACTGGAAGCCTGAGGACATGGAGCCTGGTGGATGCAATCCACAAAGGGCAGAAAATGGGTAGGGGCAGGGTGGGGCAGGGGGGTGGCGGTTCCCTGCACAGTCATCTTGTTTAACCATTAAAAAGAATAAATTAGGAGTTAATATGCTGTAGTGTGGCACCCTCACCACAAATAAGCGGAACAAGAGGCAGCCAGAGACAGAGAGGACCATGAAAAAGGGTTTAAGGAATTCTAGCACAGTGATCTGGCTCCCCATCATGGAGGGACAAATGGCTCTATTAGGCTTATTACTTCATGCGTATGTTCATAATGATGACTGAATTATCAACATAGGTTAAATGTGGCTAACAGAGCTTTAACAAGACAGGAAAGATTTTAACACAATTCAGAGATAGATCCATCCACAAGTACAACAGTGCTTCTGGTGAAACATGTCAAGTTTTCACACGTCTGCATCTCCTTTCTCTCCTGAAGTGCCACTAAAATGCCAATCAAGAAACAAAATGGTATGAACCCTCAGGAGCAAAGAGAACGAACGGTAAAGGAAACATCAGTGGACGAGAGATTTCCACCGACTCTGGGGAGCCAGAAAGCAGATGACAGCTGACATACAGGGGTCAAGTCTTTCACAGGCCTGCAGGGAGATGCTGACTGGAGGCAAGCTGCTTCACCCCCAGAACCCTGGAGGAGCTCAGACCTTGGGGGGACCAGGTGTTATGATAGTGGGGGTCAGGCATGGGGGGTGTGGTACAGAATGAAGGAAACTGGTTGGAATCCTCCCATCCCATCTCATACTCTGCCCTACACAGCAGGAGACTGAAGACACTGAACAGGAGAGACTCAGGCAGAAGAGGACAGACGAACACGGGGATGAAAATGGGAATGAAAGCATAATATGAATACTGAAGAGTGGGACTCAGAGCGCCCCCTCTTCATACTCTACCCTGCCCCAGGCAAGTATCACCCCATACTGGAATGCGGTGAGTTTAAAACATGGCTGCAATTTTTTTGGCACTTCTTCTATTAAAGGGAGGTCTCTGACTCCCTTGAATCTGGGCAGGCTTGTGACAACAAGCCATGAGCACCCATGCAGCTTCCATATTGCTGGCTAGAACATTCACATTGGAGCCCTAAGCTCCAGCTACCAGGCATGGCACCAGAGAGGCCACAGGTACCTCCAGGCACCAGTCCCAGCAAAACCCCGGCTCCCCACTCTCCCTGCCAGTGAGGAACCATCTTAAGAGGGGATCTCCCTGTCCCGACTCCGACTCCCAGCCACAAGAGCCACCCTCCATCATTCCAGTGGTCCCAGCCTTAGCCCCAGACAGTGTGGAGCAGAAGAGCTGTGCCTTTTCTGAGTTCCTGACCTGCAGCATAATTAAATGGTGGTTGTTTATGTATGCCACTGTGGTTTTGGTTTGTGATGCAGCAGTGGGGAACTGGAACAGGAATTGGAGTGCCTCTCTTAAAAAGCCGAATGGCTCTAGAGTAGCAGTTATCAGTGGGGTGATTTTGACCCCCAGGAGACATTTGGGGATGTTTATAAACATTTTTGGTCATCTCAACCATGGGAGGAGTGTTATAACTGGTATCTGGTGGTAGAGTCTGGTGCACAAGGACCTCTGACAACAAGGAATTATTTACCCAAAGGGTCAGTAGTGCCAAGGTTGAGGAACCTTCATTCTAGAGAAAAGGGCCTGACATTTAGAGACTTGTTAATGAAAATACTAGCTTGCTTCCCTGTAGTGAGGTCCCGTTGATAAGTTCTCCCCAAACACAGTTTAAGTCAGCTTTTTGTTGCTTCATTCATAAACAGCAGACAGCCAGGACATCTGACATTTTGAGGAAAGCCTCCAACATGAAAGAAAGAAAACAAACGAAAAGGCAGATAGAAACAAAGACAAGGGAGAGAATGGAAGAATATTAAAATGAAACAAATAGACAAATGAAAAATTAATAATACCTTCAGAGAGATAAGAGGCAGACTGTGTATCTATAAAACAAGAATGTGATACTATGAAAAAGAAACAATTGGAAAACAAAAATGAGTCCTTATATCTTTAAAAATATGAAAGCAGATATTAAAAAACAGGTCAACAGAAGGGTTGGAGGATGAACTCAAGGAAGGTTTCCCAAGAAAGTAAACCCACAAGCAAAGGGAAGGGAAATAAGAGAGAAAATGTAAGAAAATCAGAAGATTAATCCAGTAGGTCTAACAGTTAAAATAGAGGGGAGAAAATTATCAAAGAAATATAAGACTTTTTTAGAACTCACTGTAAGGTTGGAGACACCGGAGGGAGCGGTGAGCACATCAGACACTGATGACGTGCCAAAGTCCCCGGCTGCTGCCCCCTCCCAACCTGAAAAATGTGCCTTAGGCTAGACAATCCTCAGGCCGCTGTAAATCTAAGCTCTGCCTCCCCCTGCCTTCTTTAAAAACTCGCTGCCTGCCCTGCTAAGCGTGACTTCCCCAGCCTGTGACTAGCCAGACCAGGGAACATCACCCAGGATTGCGCTCAGATAAACTGCCTGGCCCTTTGTTGCCTCTCGTTGTCTGCTTATTTTGGTTAGAATTTATCTTACAGTCACTACTTAACTAATACATAACACACTACTTAGCTCAGCAATGAAGAACTGTCTATATTCACTATTGAGTTAACCAAAAATCTGTATTATATTCTTACTGGGAGGCTGGCTGCAAGGAAGAGGACTAGAGGTGGTTTTGTAGCAAAGCTCAATTCTCATTCACCACAAGAAGTCAACAGATATCTAAAGTTGGTAAATCAAGAAATAACAATATAAAAAGAAATAGAAACTAATAAAAGGGTTGAAAGAGCCAACCATTAGAGAAAGCAGAACAGGGAAAGGTGGGGAGGGGATATTTATTCTGAACCTCTCTGTACTATTGATAAATAAGCCATATGCATGCATTATTTTGGTAAACTTGATAAAATAGAAATTGATTAAAAATGAGTACAATAGAAAATTGCAAAGGGATGGGATTACATTTAATCATTTGGAAAATTCACTTATGTGAATGAGCCATGGCCCAAGAATGCTCAGTAAATAGGCAGGGCCGGCACAAACCTCATTAGCGTGGCTTTTCTCCGGCCTCAGTGGCCAATGGCAGAGTGTGTAGAGGTGGGAGCTGGCACAGCAGCCCTTGGGTACATGCGGTATATTATGCCAGCCCCCTTTCCCAGCAGGGGGCACTTGTTCAGGAGAGCCTGCTCTGGAGCGTGCATCCTACCATTCTGCCTGAGAAGAGAGGAGCTAGTCATCCCTTGGGGAATTGCAGAGTGACTTCTAGGAATTCGCTAGGCTTCCTGCCCTTCCCACTCTGGACGTGGACGAGATGCGGGGCTTCTGGTGGTGTGAGAGGAGCTGGGCCCAGGGCTGGAGCCTCAGGGCCTCTCTGGGATGTGCTGGAGTCGGGTGCTTTCAGCAGCTGGAGGTGGATGCACGCGCTCATTCGGATGGGACTGATGGGCTGGATCACCCGTCTCCTCCCCTGGGCTCCCCTGGGCTGCTGAGGGGGGAAACATGCCTGGGGGCTGAGCCTCACCTCTGAGGCACAGCTCCTTGGCACCAACCCTCAGGCTGTAGCAGCTTTTCTTTTCCTTCCCCCGCTGACACTCCTCGGTTTATTCCTAAGCCGCTAGGCCTGCCTCTATTTCAGTCCTCCAAGCTCTGCCCCTGGGCTGTTCAGCTGGCCTGCCTGCAGAAGGCACTGCAGTTGGGTTTTTTTTAAACCTTTTCAATTGTTATTTCTTTTTAAAAAACGATTATTACATCATCATTTTGTAAGTAATATGTATTCCATGTAGAAAAATAATATTGAAAATCACCATAATACTGAAAATTCTACCAGCCAAATAAAATCACTATTTACCTACGAATTTCCAGAATGTTTCCAGGGTATACACAGGTAAAAACAGGATCAGTCCACGTCTCATGTGGATACCATCTGCTGAGCACTCACCACATGCTGGGCCTTTAGGTGTGTTAACCCCACCAGATCATCACAACTGTGAGGTAGGTGTTAGAACCCCTACTTTACACGCAGGAAGCAGAGGCGTAGGGAGATCATATCACTTGCCTGAGTTCCCATGTTGGTTAAGAGACTGCTCTGATTTCAACCCTACAGGCTGAGTCCAAAGCTACTTTCCTACTTTCCATTACTTTTCTTTTTTTTAGTTAACTTAGCAATATATGCAAACATCTTTCTTGTCAATAAACATACACCTAGTTCATTCTGCCGTGTGACATGCCCTTGTGTGGACGTAACAAGTTTTAAATGACTAATTTCTTTCTGTTGGACTCTTTCCAATGTTTCAATCTTTCTCTATGATAAACAATGCAGTTATAAATATAATTGTACTTATACCTTTGCACAAATGTGCTTGTTTTCCTAGGATAATTCCAGAAAGTGGAATTGCTTGGTCAAAGGCTAGAGACATTCTTAAAAGCTGCCCCTTTTCCAGTCACACCAGCAGAAGAGACAGACAGACATTGCCCCATAGCTATTATTTACTGAGTATTTTCCTTTTTTAAAATCTGGACCAAGTTTAACACAGAATCAGAAAACCCCTATGCTGGAAGCATCCTAGTATCCTTTAGATCTAGAACTAAATCAGCCTTATTTATAAAAAAAAAACATTCTAGATACTCTGCCAAGGCCAGTCTGACTTCAACAGGCTGGGCAGAACCACCAAAGACAGCAGGAAAGGAGAGAGGCCCAGAGGGAGGCAAAGAAGTGGAGCTGGGGGCTCACCACCAGTGGGTTTGAGGCTTACAGCCAGTGTGGCCATGTTTCCCCAAGGGAAGCACTGTTGTCCTAGGTCCAGGGATCCCACAGCCACTCTATGATCCACAAGTCAATACTGAGCTGTCCTCATTGTCCGAGGCACCCATACTCTACCCAGGAAGTCAACACAAGTCCCCTGACCTCCACTTTAGCCAGCTGCCAACACTTTCAGCACTCTGGCTTTCTCTGAAATACTTTCCAGGGCCTTTTAAGTTGGGAAGTCTCAAACTAGACAGTATTATTGTTCTCTTACCTTGCTGGTGTATAGGCTGCAAACTCTGGCACCTGGAGGAAAAAAAAAGAAAATAAATGGTTGAAGTAGAGAACTGACGACATGCCTTTGGGCAAAGAATGCCTGGATGGAGGCTGAGGGATGTGAGTGCATCTGGGGTGAGTTCTTTAGGAGCCACTGAGCTGTGGGCTGAAAGCCTGCTGGCCCAGGTACCAAGGGGCAGTCTCCACTCAGGGTGTTTCCTTCCCACTTGGCCTCTTACTGCCCCTACACTGGCAGAAACCTCAGTGCTCTTTCCACCTTGTCTCAAGGCCTTGTATAAACAGGAAGTGGTCCTTTCATACATTTTTATTCATGTATCTATTCATCAGATTATCCACTGAGCATCCACTACATGCCAGGAACTCTCTGAGGGCTCGGGGGGTGCAGTAGACAAAACAAAATGGAGCTTGCAGTCCACTAGGGGAGACCAACAACCAAATAAACAGATAAATAAAATATATAGTAGTCAGAAGAGGTAAGTGCTGTGTAGGAAAAATAAAGCAGGAGAGTAGGCAAGGGAGTGTTGGAGCAGGAGGTGGGAAGTAGTGCTGAAATTCCAAATAGCATGGTCAGGGAAACCCAGGCATCTGAGAAGGTGAATTATGAACAAGGACCTGAAGCAAATGACATGAACCCTGAAAATTTATGGGAAGAAGCTTTCCAGGTGGAGGTACCAGCACATGCAAAGGCCCGAGAGGTGAGCACATGCTTGACATAGTAAATAAAGATCAGTGGAGAAGGTGGTATGGCCAGAGTAGAATGAACAAAGGGGAGTTCTAAGAGAGGGGATCAGATAGGTAGTGAGAGGCTCCAGGGAGTGCAGGGCATTAGAGGAAGGCCCTTATAGGAACTTGAGCTTTGACTCAGACAGGAGCCATTGGAGAGTTTTACTCAGAGAAGTGGCATGATGGAACACATTTTAACAAGACCACTCTGGATACTGTGTTGAGAATAAATTGGAGAACATAGGTAGAACCATGTAGAAGGCTGTGCAGAAATCCTGGCAAGAGACAATGATGGCTGGGACTAGAGGCATAGCTTGGAGGTAATGGGATACAGTTTGATTCCAGAAAGAAGAGCCAGCAGGACCTGCTGATGGACTGGAAGCGGGCTGTGCAATAAAGGAGTCAAGGAGGACTCTTTAAGATTTTTGACCCAAGCAAATGGAAGGATGGAATTTCCATTCTCTGAATCACAGAAGTCTGCTGATGGAGCATATTTTTGGGGAAGGTAAGGAACTTGGTTTTGGATGTCTTTAAAAAATTTTTAATACAGTTAAAATCATTTCAGCTCCTTCACTGCCAAACCTGGAGGCAGGGACTGCTTCAGTTTCTCTGCCTTCTCTTTGTCTGTGTTTTTGAGATGCCTTTAGACACTCAACTGGAAAGGCCTGTATGCAGGTGGGTATGTAAGTCTGGAGTTCAGGGGAGATGCCCAAGCTGGAAATGAAGATTTGCAAGTGTTCAGCATGTAGCTCTTTAAAGCCATGACATATGATGAAATCACCCAGGGGGGTACTGTCAATAGAGAAGTTGTCCAAGTACTGAGGCCCATTCACACAGCAAAGGAGTCTGAGAAGGAGTAGCAAGTACAGCAGGAGGGTAACCAGGAGGAAAGGTTTTAAGGAGGAGGGAACAATCCACTGTGATAGGTCAGGTCATATAAGGACAGAGAATTAATAACTGGACTTAGCATCTTGGAGTCCTGGGTGATCTGGTCAAGGGTAGATTCAGTGGGGTGGTTGGGATGAGAACCTGACTGGAGCAGGTTCAGAAGAGAGGTGCTGACGTCGTGAGCTTGAGGACACAGTGGGCTGGCAGCAGAAGGCGCACAGGGAGCAAAGGAGCACAGGGCGGTGAGACAAATGGCTCCTACCTCACTTCACCCGTTTGTCAGATGTGAAGCACAAGGCTGGCACTTCCACACCTCCCCGGTAAGGGGCTGCCCCGGGTGCTTCGGGTTGCTGAGCCCCATCCAGTTCTGGCCTGATAAGCTGGCCACCTGGTTGTTTCTAGACCCTCACAAAGTTATTCCCAAATTTTCTTGCTGTCATCATGTGCAGCTTGGGATCAACGCCCATAGCGTGGGGCTGCAGAGCAGGTCGTCTGTCCCTTACAACCAAGACCTCCCGTGGGCCTCTCCTCCTGATGGAAGTCACAGGGGCAGGGCAGCAGGGTCCCTGCTCTCCCGGAGCTGGCCTTCTGCACCAGGAGGCTAACAATCACCAAGGAGACAGGTGAGCAGGCAGGTCCCTTCAGAGGCGGACAAGCACAAAGAAGATGATGAATGGTGTGGGAGGGGGAGAGACAGCATGGGGGGCCCTCCTTCAGCTAGGCCGAGTGGTCAGGTTGCCTCTCTGGGAGATGACATTTAGGATGAGACTTGGACAGCAATGCCCGGCTAATTCTCAAGCTGGCTCCCACCCCACTACTCTAAGGCTTTCGAATCTCGCAAGGCTGGCTGGTGCCTCGGGCCATCTAAGTATAGGGCCAAAAGGAAACATTCTTTTTCTTCTCTCAAATATATACTGTGGGGATTTTTTCTGCATGACTATGAAAGACAAGCATTTTCACTGAGGGAAATGGAAATACTGAAAACAGAAGAAAACAAAAGTACATCCAATTCACTCCCCAGGGGTGGCTACTGCTGACATGTAGTGTGCACTCTCTAGGCATTTTTCTATGCATATATAGACATATTTTTAAAAAATGAGACCATGTTGTATCTTCTGTTTTTGTGTACATTGTTTTGGTCATGAATTTTTACTTAATCTACTATAAGCAGTGTTCACATTTCATTTAATTTTTTCTACATGATTTTAAATGACTACATAGTAGTCTTTTGAATGTATATTTTTACCATATTTCATTTAATCCCCAAATATTAACCATTTTGATTGTTTCCAAGTGACTGATACTATGAGTAAATGCTGTAATGTACAATCGTGTATCTTTTTTTCTTAGTGAGGGAGGCTTGCAAATCTCTGTTTTCTTGGGTGTAAGTCTAGGGAGAGGAAATCCCGGGGCAAAATACCTCTAAAAACCAAAATTGGTCAAAGGAAGAAATAAAGTTTAAAATCCGTTTATTGCTCACAAACTGCAGTCTAGGCTCATCTCTCTTTCCTGCTCTAGCCTCCGCAAAACTGGCCCTCCCCTCACCTCTCAGGTACAGATAAACCCTCCATTGCCCAGGTAATTACCCATTGATACGGAGATGAACTTCTCTCCACCCCTGAGGAATGATGCAAATAAACTAAAGCAATCCTTCTTCCCACATCTGAATGCCTATTGATATGCAGATGTTCTAAGACCAGGCAAGATATTCTGGAAATGGTACAATTTTACCCACATCCGGTTAAAAGAAAATGTCACTGCCCATTGGGATGCCATGGGTTTTATGGCATCAAGAGACAGCCTGAGGCTGAGCGTGGTGGAAAGGCAGGGCTGAGCCATGAGCTCAGAGTTCACCCAGGTGCCAGATCTGATTTTGTCCCTGACAGACCCTGGTCTTGAGTTTTCCTCCCTTAAGGTCTTAGAAGTAGGAAGACAATAGGCCCCTCCTATAAACCCAGTGAAATCCAGAGGGATTCCCCGCCTGAGCCAGGAAGAGGCTGTCACTTTCTGTTCCAAGCACAGAGAGCACCCATGTACCCTTGAAATCCCCTTTGGGGAAGCTCCGTTTTCCCTAGGAAAGATATCCAAGTGATGTGGCCTTCAGCCCTTCCCCGAGGCAAGGCTGCCCAGGAATGATTGGGCACAGAGGGCGCCACATAAACAGCAGCCCCTCTCCTGCCTGCCCCAGCCTTGCTCTTGGGTCCTTGGATTCCCCACAGGGGCTGGCAGGGACAGTCTGTGACCCCCATGAGAGGAGCAGGGGCAGTGAGCTCTGGGGTGAGGTGGGACAAACACAAGCCCCAGAGACCACCAGCCCTGGGGTTGAATCCTGTCTCTGGCACATTCCAGCTTCATCTTGGACAAGTGACTTTGCCTATGGAGTGCAGGCTTCGTGGGTGAGGGACGGGAGCCTGTCTGCTTTGTCTACAGTTATATCTGCAACACTCAGCACATAGCAGGTGCTCGAAAAATATTTTGCTAGTCAATGTCTGGTCCTTTCTGAGCCTCAACTGGCTCATCTGTAAAGTGCGGAACACCTCTCTCACAGGCTTGTTGTGAGGACTTAATAAAACCTGGGTGAAATACTTAACATAGTGTCTGCTGTTCAACAAACATGTCCAAAGCTCTGGAGTTACTTCCATAGGCCCCGTGCCTTGTGGCAGCTCTGCCATTTTCCCTTGTTAGACAGAATTAGTTTGCCTCCTCTCTGCTCACTGTTGCACCCCAAACACACCACTGTATGGCACACATGACACCGTGTGTGTGTGTGTGTGTGTCTCCAGCTCCCCAAAGAAGTAAGCAAGGTCATATCTCCATTCTGCAAATGGGGAAACTGTGGCTTGGAAAGGCTAGGTGCCTCTCCCTGGTTCACACAGCCAGGGAGCCGCAGAGCAAGATCGCAGCCTGGTTCTGGTCTCTGGGCCCTTGTGCCCTTCCAGGTGATTCTCTTGCAAATGGAGGTGGGGCAGTGAGAAGGAAGCAAGGCAGTTCCCATGCCCCTCAGGGAAAAGGCAGGCAGCACTCCAGAGGTAGGAGGTCCTCAGGGAGTCAGCAGGGTACCGGCAGTCACCTGAGCCCTGTCTCATTTTCCTGTGTGTCGTCATGCACAGCAGCTGCGGCCCCCAGAGGCTTGTGGTTTGGCTGGTCTAAGATAGGCTGATGCAAAGGCGGGGGGCCCCCAGGCTCCCTCTATCACTGTGGAGTCCAGCGAGCAGGGGCTTCCCTGGCCCAGAGCAGATGGTCATGGCCCCACCAGCAGGGTGAGTGGCTGCAGGGCACCTACCCAGGACTGGCCTATCTACAGTTATGGTGCAGGAAGACCCCACCAGACCACAGGGTGGGCTGATTTACTCATCTTGATTTACTCCTGTCTGTAACTCCAGGATCCTGCTGAATGA